CGCTATTTTTTTAAATTAAAAATGTGGTATTTTCTTTAAAAAAATCTAAAAGAGCGTTCAATTTTACGTAAAAAAAATACTAAGACATCTTTGATCTAAACTCATTATTTAAAGAGATATTTCATGAAAAAATATGTAGCTGAAATAATATCATATCATTTTTTCTTAAAGAGAACTATGTGTTTTTTTTACACCAATTGATTCCTCTGATTATTTTGTGCATAAAAGTGTTGAGGTAAGATAATTGAAAAATTAATATTTAATGAGAGCTTTCATAATTTATATAAAATTATGTCAAATTAAAGTATAAAATATCTCGTAAACTATTCAATTTTTGGCCATCCTATTCTTATAACTTTTTACGACGAATATTGCGAGGAATCAATTTATATAAAAAATTGTGTTGGCTCCATTTAAAAAAATGAAGTTGACCTTCAAATCTCCGAAGCACCTCCACCCAAGGTCAAACTAATATCCCTATATTTTTCCCCCTCCAAATCCTGCAACTTTTACTTGAAACATTTTTCGATTTAACGCGGTGTTTCTGAAATATTTGAGTGGATTATTTAAAATGTATGACACCCTGTATAAGTAGTGAACTATTTTTAATTATAACTCAAAAACTAAGTTTTAGACAAAATTTTGCAAAAGAAAAATAGTCTTAGAAATCGCTCAAGAATATAATATTTCAAGAACATTAAGATATTTTAAATTACTCTATGTAGCGACGCACATAGCGCGGTATTTAAGAAGAAAGACTCATTTCCCAAATATTATTTTTTTAATATAACATTAACATTAATATATGTAAATTCAGCGTAAAATTTTGTAACTTTTGTTGAAATTTGTAAAAATAATAACAAGGAAAAGAGGTAAATGTAAAAATATGACATTTTTCAAAAAGCCAAATGCATGATTATAAAACTCATAAAATACCAAAAAATTTTTATTTATCTGAAATATTTTTTTATATATCTCTTATAGTTTTAGATTCTCTTAAAATCAAATATACCATGTCAGTTTGTAGGAATTGTTTCAACTTCTAAATGTAAGAACGTACATATAAAAAAATACATGTTTCTTATTTTTAGTTACTCTACAACAGAGGTGTCCAACCAGTCAATCGCAATCTACCGGTCAATGGTAATGTGTTTTTTTTTTATAGATCTTCACATGATTTGATTTATTCTTCTTTATTTGATTTTTACTTTGTTTAATTTTATTATAAAATTTGTTTTTAATTTTAATATTTATTTTGTATTAATTTTTTTATTTTGACACTTAGTTTGTCTGTATTGATATATGATAAATATTGAAATCATATTTTAATTTTATATATTTAATATTATATTTTTTCCTTTGTACATTGATAGATCGCGAGGTCGCTTTATTAAAAGAAAAAAAGTAACTCATACGTAAAAAAGGTTGGGCAGCACTGCTCTACTACATATTCAAACTTTAAAAATCGGACAGAAATAACTCCATCACTTTCCTTGTAGGAATATACAGGGTGTTCGAAAAGTCCCAAAACGGTTTAATATTTCAACAAAAAAGCATTTTAGACAAAAGTTATAATCTTTAACTGTTTAAAACTGTTCCAATCATTAAATGGATTCTTTTAAACGCTACAACTTTTGTCTAAAACATATTTTTGTAAAATATCTTTTTCTGAAATATTAGATTGTTCTAGAACTTTTCAAATACCCTGTATAAAGGTCACCTTAATATTTACTTATAATTCTTTTGATGTTGCTGTTAAACTCATAAATCGTTATACTTTATGTATTATTCTATCTACGCAGTAATAAACCATTAAATAGAGAGGCCTATGTATTGCAATTAATATATTTTTTTTAATTAATTTTCCTATCGATTATTTAATAGAAATAGATAGACTTGAAATTTGATAAATAAATTGATAAACGGTTACACTACGCATGATACGTCAGATCATTAGATAAGTGCAACTGTCAACCTCTCATTTCGAAAATTTTTCGCCGATCATGTTTTTATTATTTCGATAGTGAAAATTAATCTTCAGTATATTTTTATGTAACATCGTCCTATTACATCATCGAATTTTCTAGACTGCATGACTAATTAACGCCTAACGCAAAAATTATTAGTCATATCTGTCAAATCGTAGTTACTCAATAAACTATCATTTATCAAGCTTAATAAGTGGTTATGTAAAAATATATTTATTACCAAATAGAAAATCATGCTAGCTAATCATATCAAGCCGCCATTGTACGGCAACCGCGAACAAATCCCTTCGAATGACTGCAAAGAGTACTATCTATTTTTGTTGGAATTTTTCATAAAACAAGTATCAAGCAACCGTTTGACCAAACTAAATCAGATGTTTTTTGTACCTACAACAATCTATTTTGGATTCCTCGATTTCGTAAATGATGATGATCTAATGGTGACTGCAACGGATCAACTGGAGGCAAGTATCGCCGATGATATTCAAATATTCAATACCGGGAAATCGGTGTTGTTCTCTGTCGATTATACTGCGGTGATGGATCGCACCGTGCCAATGATTCTGAACATTACCGTGAAGAAGCAAATGCCGAATGGCATCAAGCCAGATGTTTTGGTGGGAATTGGCGAGCTGGATTTGACTAAACAGTACGCAGCTTTAAGAATGGAGATGTTACAGTGTTGGAGAAAAGGTGTCATGACATCTAAAGTATTCGATGGTCGAGTGCCATTGATTCACAATGGAAATCTATCGGGTAACCTTGATATCTTTGTAAGAATATCCAGTTTTGGTCAGACGATCATCACAGAATTAGATACACCGCCGATGATGGGAGATTCCTCAACATTTGTTTTTGGTACCAAAGAAAGTGATCAAATATTCTTGTACAAGTGTCGCAAAGTGGATTCCCATACTATTGATTTCTTCGAGGATTCCAGTGATCACATTCAGAGTCCAATTAATTGTTCCATATGTGTACCAGAGAAGTATCTTTGTAAGCCGTGTAATCGACCATTAGCTATTGATAAAAACAATAAGAAAATTAGAAACAAAGAAGACAATAAAAAGGTAAGAAAGCAGAAATAAAATAATTAAAGAAAATAAATAATTAAAGAATAGAATATGTGTTCGAAAAAGAAATAAAATTTCTCGATTCTGGGCATTCAAGTTCAGATCTGATTTTCAGTCATCCAAAAATCTCATCCAGCCTAGTCGTGACTCATCTCAGCCTTGCGGCAAGCCAGTAATTCTCAAGGTATCTGGTCTTTTTGACAACGGTGATGGCGTTGGCGATAAGAAACCTACTGTAACGGTTGCTGCAGATTCCACCGCAACAAAACCAGACGATTCGACTGAATTAGATCACGACATTTTTGTTCTGAGAATCGGCAAGAAAGGTCTGGTTGGTGTCGGCGACAAGTCTGACATACAACTGGAGATGAAGACCCCAAAAGGACCTGAAAAACGACCTCCAGTCAGATACGAGACCAGAGATATGCAAACGGACATTGAAGAGAAACCACTGAAAGAAATTAAAACGAAAAAAAAGAAAAAAACGAATCGCTCTCACTGAAAATTAAAAATTAAGTTGTCATCAATTAAAAATAATTCTAATTAATATAAATAGATTTATATTTTGCAGCGTAATACTTTTCTCGATCTTCTCAATTTTGGATATTCCAAAATAACTGTTAATAAAAATGTGTTTAATGTCAATATGAATGAGAATCATTGTTATGTTTGTTTAAAGACAATTGAATTTTTTATATATATATACTAAGCCCTGCATTAATAAGTATAGTAAAACAAACATTAGATAGAAATGATACTTTCATAAGCTTCTGGCACAGCTAAAATAAATGCAAGATTAGATACCTATAAATGAATCCTCCTGTATAATAAGAGCGTTGCAATCGATAAAATCTTATATAATTGTCAACCTAAAACCTAACCATAAAATTCTTTATCACTGATAGCAATCTAAATTGAGTAGAGTGGATAACAAATAATATTAAATTAAAATTGCTGGAGTATGATATACAATTAAAGATAAAAAGTATTAGCTTTACAAATTAGTAAACGAAATAAGTAAAAATAAAATAAAAATTGTTAAAGTAATAAATATCTTAAATATATTAACTCTTTTTAACAACTTAATTAAACTATATAATAAAAACTAATGGAAAAAGGACAACTATTTTTGATGGAATTTTTAATTGACAAAATCAATATTCCCACAATACGGGCGATTCATGAGGAAATATTACCGGCTAGAACATGCGTCTCGTTTCAAGTAAATCTTTATACTTGTTTCCAATTGATTTCTTAATTTGCTAACATTATTATAATTATCATAGATATTAGACTTGCCTCCTCTTCATATATATCAAGAAACGACAACGAAAACTTGCGCCTGTAATGGCAGTGAACCCCAAATTTTTAAAAAAGGGAAATCCTGTCTGTTTGCCCTTCCAAATGATATTCTGCAAAAACCGTTGTGTAATTTCCCCGTAAAAATGTCTGTCTACAAGGAACTGCCGCCAGCAGTTTTGCCGGACGTGATGTTGATCGGTCCTTTAACTTTGATTATTTTTTTCTCTGACACATTGTTATTAAATTTCTAGATGATCAACATCGCAGAATTTTACATAATTATTTTTCGAAACAGGTACTCACCAGATTCAAACTCGCGATCTCATAAACTCGCTGCTGAGTCGGCAATTCTTCAATATCGGCAAGACCTACAAGACAATTAAGAACGTTATTAAAATTACTACAGCAACAGGACAATGCGTGGGCGAAGCCACAGTCTTCATCCGCGCCTCGTGTTTTGGCAGAAAGATCATCACGCAATTTCAAATTCCTCACAACAGGAAACCTTACCTGTTCAAGGGCACCGACGATGGTCCGGCGTTTCAATGCGAAAGATTCACTTCCGCTTCAGATAAAGAACGGATAGAATGCGCATGCCTGCTTAAGAAGACTGGCAACGGCAGTGGAGAAGCCGCAAGAATCCGCTGTCCTGTTGTCTCTCATAAACATCGACGAAAAGAATGGCTGGAAGATGTTAAAAAGGATAAGTGTTCACCGTGCTGTCGTAGTACACAAAATACTGTACTCAGCAGCAAGGAAACAGCCGGAAAATGTGGCTGCATTTTAAGAAAGAGAGAATTTGTAGTTGCACCCGAACAAATATCAAGTACCCAACATGAATAAGAGAATGTTCTAAATGCTTCTAAAAATTAATAGATCTAAAGGAACCAAAATATTCGTTAATTGATCCTGTGTTTGTCCTAGCGTTTTAATTCTTATCTGCGCGATACCCTGCGTATTCGGCAGATCTTGGTTTATTCCTAAGCAACATTACTAACAGTAAAAAGAGCGCCGCGGTGAAGATGTCTCATGTTCGGGGGATGTAACGGAAAGAAGGGTGAAAGACCCAGACGACGGTCATGTTACGGCCGCCGCCGCCGCCGCCGCCACTGCCATTTTCATCCCCGCCAACCCCTTATCCTATTGCAGGGTGCTAGGCCGATATTGTCGCGTCTGCGCGCGATGAACAACGTAAGAGAGAGACAGTCAGGCTTAGACGCTTCTGTGACAGAGATGTGCCGCTGTTGTCGGGACGTCGTGCGGCGTCGGGACGCGCGTTAACCCCTTGCCGACACCTCGGGAGAAACGCCTGGCCGAGGTGTTGATGGCACTCCGGCGACGACAACGACTCGAATGTTCATTACGGAAGTTTTCACACCCCAACCATGAACAGCTCACCGCAGAATACAAATAACGCCGGCACGGTGCAACGACGGACAACCGGTGTCGACAACAGCGACGAGGAGGAATGGAGCGGCGTCGTTGAATGTGTAATTAATCGTGTGATCCTGAATTGCTTCTGTCTGCTCTCACCCATGCTTCGCTATCATTCTTCCCGATTGAAAACCGAAAAAAAACTAAAGACATTGTTAATCACAGTGAGACGCATCGTCGACCGATCGAATTGTTGTCTTCGGTTTTTCAATAATTGTAATTTTTTTGTCTATAAATTGCTATTTTTGTCAAAAAGTTTGTGGGAAGTTTGTTTATAGATTATTAATTGTGTAGCAACATTTTTATAATTTTATTTTACGTTATTTTCTATATTTTTGGTTATTAAGTGCATTGTAACATAAAAATAGATCTAAATGCATTAAAGTTCTACCAATAAGCTCAATTTTTTTCTTAGGCTATTCTTGAGAGAACTAAATCCGATAGAGCTACACGTGCTGACGAGGACAGGCGCCGTCGTACGATTATCGTTGAGAAGAAGAATGGCACGTACGGTTTCACATTACAGGTGCTTGCGTACATATTATTGCATCATATAATAAATATTTTACTCTTGATTTCTCCCAGAATCTGTTACCGTTCATTCTTATACCTGCTAAAATTTAAGAGTTTTAATAAGCAAATAAATATTATTATTAACAATTTTATGCTTTAGTAATCAACAGTAATTTGATCTATTGATTGACTTGACAGAGCTATGGAATACATTACAAAAGGGAACAGGAGATAGAAATGGTAACATATGTGGATTATGTAGAATACGATGGACCAGCATTCAAAGCTGGTATGCGAGAGGGTGATATAATACTCTCTATAAACGGCCATGAAATGGACAGAGCTGATCACAAGACCCTGGTGAACTTTATTCAGAACTGTGATACCAGAATGCGAATGGTCGTATCATTTGAAGACTGCGTGAGAAAAGTAAATAAATTCTTATACAGTGTTTCAGACTTACCGTATCACTTATTAATGACAAATTCTTGAGGTCATTTTTGGAACAAAAGCTGAGTCATTTGGAAACAAAAAGCTTTATATCAAAATATAATTTCGAGGCTGCAGTAGTTTTAAAATAGAAAGTGTTTAAAGTTGATCAAATCAAATTATCAAAATTTCACGCGCATAGGCATATTGTACATTAAAAGTGCCTGAATTCGCTTCATGCAAAAGCTTTCAAAGTTCGATGGGTATCGCATTCCAATGTCTCTTCCTCTCAATTTTTCAAAAAATTTTAAAATTATTATTATTATATTTATTAAAATTATTAACCGCATATAAAAAAATAAATTTTAAAAATCATTTCAACAACAATGCATAAATTATATTAATATTGATAATTAAAGTAATGTATACCTGAGTGTACCTTTAATGTGCAATGTTTTTAAGCACGCGAATTTTTGACAATCTAATTAGTTAACTTTAAACACTTCCCATTTAAAATCCCATTTAAAAATTATTGCAGCCACAACATTTTGTTATTAAAATTTTTGTTTTCAAATGACTTTAGAAATCTACCATTAATGGGTGATAAGATGGATTTGGGACATTCTACATATGTTGATCGTAATATGCAATAATAATCTTAAAGTTTTAATTAAACTCAATATAAGGCTTTTTAATTTGTAAATCTAATATAACGTGTAGATGATAAAATATATATGATTTCAGGTGGAATTGCACATGCGTTACATCGAGATACAACGCGCTCTTCAGTCTCGCCTGGGCGAACTAGAAAGATTATGTGAGAGAGAACGATCCATTCTGATGGGACGATGGAAGACCCATTCACTGCCAGCGCGAAAAAGAACGCCTAACAATATCACCAGCACTAACCCCAATCAACCGTCGCCGTCTTCTAGCTTCAATTCCTCTACAATTCAATGCTGTCGACCAGCAACCTCTAGCGAACATCTTTTACTTTATAACGTGGTAGCCGCTGTTTACATTTTGATAATAAAAATCAGAAAATCAATTTAGTAAAATATTTAGTAGTTTCTGAATTTTGCAACGTCATCATTTTTGTACTTAATTCCACAGTTATAATTTCTATAAGAAATTATATAATTACTTCTGTACTCGATTCAAATAATCTAAACTATAAATAAATACTATTTAGATAATAGTATATAATAAATTATTAAAAAAATAATTATAAATAAATTTAATATATTTTTCAGTTTGCTGATGGACGACCCTGTCTCATTCCACGCAGTGCCGCTTGTCTTGTAACTGTCGGACCACCTCGGTCTCGCAGCGACCATCATCACTTCCTGTCTAAAATGTCAAGCGACTCCACGGTAACCGCAATCTCCTCGCGTCATAGTTATCATCAAGCGAATGGTATGACTGGTACACCTGCAAAAAGCAAGTCTCACAAGCAATCTACAATCGTCGGCAATCAGCCGCAACAGCAGCAATCGACCGTTACTAATGAAGGATCATCATTACATCCAACATCTCAAAACAGTCTCTGTGTCGCTTGCATCTCCAGCGCAAATCGTCGCCGAGAACCGTCAGACAGCGGTAGTCTAGATGCTTACGATCTCGCCAGTCCTTGTTGCGATCCAAACTGCGTGCCCAGTCGTCGACGACGCGAAAAACAACGGCGCGTTCGTAACGAACAGACTCTTCATCAGCAGCAACAGCATCACCATATTCAAGGACAACGAGACCAGCAGCAACAACAACAGCAGTCAAATGCTCATAATTGTCCCCGCACATCCGGCCATAGTCTTCATTCAATTACCAGCAGCGACGTTTCGACGACAGCCGACAGTGTCGCTTCTTGCTCCACCAGCCTTAGCACCGATACCCTATACTGGGACCCAAGTGTGCACCAGCGACCACCGCCGTGCCTTCAATACGCAAAGCCTAAATCCTGGGATAATCTGACCACCAAGGCTTTTGGAGGCTATGGCTTTGGTTACGGATACCTGGACACCGCGACTATCAAGACCCACAGTGCGGAACGTCCCGGCAAAGGGTCGCACGGCAATAGCAGTGGCAGTGTCAGCGTCGCCGTTAGTGGTAGATCAAAGACGCCGATCGGCATCATACAGCGAAAGACTAGCGGCACCACCGCATACTCAACAACGACGAGCTCAACAGTCAGCCGACACTTTCAGCCGTCAACCAAGTCGACGGAAAGCCTGCTGATCCCGCCGGGGCTGTATCAGAGCGATCTGGATCAGGCTAGTCTGAGCTGCGAATGCCTTGATGGCGGTGGCGTATCCGCCTCGCGATTTGTTCAGTTGGACAAACATAAACGTTCGGACGATGCAACGGGATACATCCCGTCAACTCACGCACAAGTCAGACATCGACGGTCTAGTCATTCCGATGGCAAACTACGGGCTATCAATAACTCTGAAGTCACGCGATTGTAATATTATCAAATACATCGAGCTACGTGCTAATAAAGCATTAAGATAAAATGCCGTATTTGTTTTTTATTCGGTTATATCAAAAAGGAGAAAGAAATAGAAATATATTTGCGATAATATATCTCGAATACGTCGTGGATTCTTGATTTGTATGCGTAAACTACTTCCGCTCATTCTTACATTTTGAAATTTTCGTATCTTTAGATCCAAAAAAAGTTATGAATGTTTAGCATGCCATCTCTTGGACAAATTGTACTTTCCGCTATAAAAAGATTTGCGGGATTATATTTGAAATATATTATTACTCGCTTTCACATGTAACAAAATGTAATTGATTTCTTCGGTTAGGTTATCAATTTCGGTAATATTTCAACGCACTCAAAATTCAAATTTTAATTCAATAAATACTGTTATTTTCAACATATTGATTTATAATAAAACATTCTATAAATAACTCAACATATCCATTTTTAACTCAGAATGACCACTAACAATACACTTGACATTTGGCCATTTCGTGTTCATATACAGATATTACAAAGTAGATGCTTTCTTTAATTGCACTCATACATCCTCTTCCTATATACATACATACGTACATAAATGTACTTGCGCGCGCGCATAATAAACGGTATACTCGATCGATTTATTTGCCGTATCCTTCTACGTATTGTGTATGTATATTCGTGCCTACGTACCGGTTCACCATGTGCAACATGTAACAACTTTGTGTATATGTATATGAGTGCCTGATTGCATATTTGTACATGTGTATCTAATCCGCGGCATAAACTATCAGTTCGAAAAATAAATTACGCCATTTTATCTGCCTCTTTTCCTTTAAATGTACGTCCAGGTCATGAATACTTGAATCTTTTCGAGCTTGAAACTTTGTGACCGCATAATTTCATTTATATGCATTATATAGAAAAAAAACTGCAAAATTTGTTTCTTTCTCTTTAGATTTTAACGTCGGTTAGTTCTTTGTGATTGCAAATAAACCGTAGAATTCTCGAATTTTTATATTCTAAGACTTTTAACTTTCACTTCAAATTTTATTTTCAAATATAGATACTAAAATGGTCGTTATATTTCAGGCCTTAAACTCTCAAATTTCCAGACTATTAAATAGAATTTTTCAATCCTTAAGTTCCGGCACTTTCAACCCTTAGATCGTAGAATCCTTGAATCTTTAAGTCCCATAATCGCATTTCTTTGGATTTTTATATCCTTGAACTCTGGGATCTTCGTAACTAAATATTTCTGAATTATCAAATCTATAATTACTTAGAATCCTCGAATGTCATAGAATTCTAAATTCCTATTGCTAAGTCCTTGACTTCTACTAATTTACAAGATTATAGGAAAAACAGGAACTAGTTGCCTAATTGTTGCATACGTGCGGCTGCAACTTTCATAGATGATAAAATAATTTTACTTTAAGATCCTCAAAGCATCCTGGATACGTTTCTCATACGGGGGTGGAGCAAATGGGATTATGAAAAGGCCTGCCTCGAGGTTCTCCAGAAGGAACATCAGGCTCCAAAAGACACTTTCAAATAGCCTTTTTCGAACTTTCGCTATTCGCGGCAAACAAATGCGCATATTCCGTCCGTTTCAAAAGTTGCGTCAAAACGTCATCTGCAAGAAATAAATCGGTTTGGAAAAAAAGGATTCTTATTCCACTAAAATTATTTTCGAGAGAAAATCAATTTTTACCAAAATTCACTGTATGGTCATTTGCATCGTTTCTAGCTTGTTGAAAGATTCTGTCAGATTCCTCCGGCTGTATATGTAATGATAATCTCAAGGCTTTCCTGAGTTCCGACTGTGTCATTGTCAAACATGTCATTGTCTTCGAACCGCATACCTATGACACAATATAATCGTGTAAAAATAAAAGTTAATAGATATGTATTATACATTTATACATATATAGTAAAGTTATATTCAGTCTACACTCACGTCAAACGCAATCTCGACCTTGTCTAATTCCGAAGACGCGTTTGCCGTCGCCAATACAGTAAAGATATATTCCTCAAGATCGATTTTTCCATGTCCGAGCTGTAAAATGGAATAATATTCTTCTATATAATGGCCTGTACGTGATCATTTTTCTTATACTTCCAATAAATTTTTATTTATTCTTAATCTTATTTCAATGTTATTCCAGTTATTTTATATATGTATGAACCTTGTCATGAATGCGAAACAGTTGTTGAGTGGTTGGATCCTTTTCATCCAGTCTAAGAATCTGAGCAAATTCCTGTAGATTTACCTCTCCAAAATTATTCGTTTTTTTCTGAACGAGCTCTTCTTCCGTTTTTGATGCCACCAAACTACAGCAAATGAATCACAGTGAATTATTTCAATCCTAATTAATTGATTATGTACCCAGATAGACATTAAATGAAAAAATTCAATCCACATATTATATAATGATATAATTTTTTAACAGCATACAACAATAATCAATTCCAATCACAATTAAATACTGCTATTATGTTGTTATATTTCTAAACAAACTTTATTGGAAGTTGTATGGCTTTGTATAATACCAAAACAGCCAGATTTCTAAAACGCCAATACAGGATATGTGAAAGTTTTCTAAGAAGCTAATGTGGAACATCTTATAGAAATACGTTAATGTTACTTAAAGCTCAAGATTGTTGAGAAAACATGCAAGTGACACAAAATGTAATTCTTACAAACTTTTGGCATAAAAAATTGTAAATTTAATTTAAAAAATACATTTATTCCACTTATGTTACATTAAACAATTAAAAATTACGGTAAACATATCAGTATTTTTCAGTGGAATTTATTTCTTTAAGTAATTATGGACTGTTGCAGTTGTTATAAAAATCATTGCAAGATCTTACGTTAAATTTTAATATAATAATAGATTTTAACGTATCCACATTTATTTTTATTTTTTCTACTATCTACACTTTATTTATTAATGAGAACAGAGCGTTTTCTGCAACACATATGCTCGATTGTATGAGCCACGTTTTATTTTTTGTAACAGTGGTTACACTGTTAAGCAGCGTTACACATCCGCGGGACGATTGGCTGCTTTACATAATACTTTCGATTTATTGAAAATGTTGCCATTTTGACGGCATTTAATGATGATCGTGTCGAAAAAATTATTATCTAGTGCGAACGCACCTTTGGATAAATATATGCTATAATTTTAATATTAAAAATACTGTAATTATGTATGCAAGATACGACCCAATGTCTATCTGAGTAGCATTGTTGCTCCGAAAATACATGGACTAAGATTATTGCTCCGAATCTGAGTTATTTAAAAAATTAGTATAAATTTTTTTTGAAATAGTGTTTTTCACATTCTATATATCGTCTACAACAGTCCATTAGCCTTTGAAACATGTATTGCAGCCCATTTTCTGAAAGGCATTTTGGGATAATGGATGTTGCAGATTCAAATAAAAATAAAAACATGAGTTTAAAGGCCGCTGTTGGGTGTAATAGCTTTAAAACTTTATTATTTTACAGATTCTTCAAACGTTTCAGTCTATTTTGGTGATCATCCTCAGTGTTTAAAGTGTGGCTTATGTAGACTATTTACTAACTTTATTTAGATTAAAATGTTGCTCTTTTCTTTATATATTCTACGATATTGAAATTTCCATTTTTTACAATATCCATTTCTAACCTTAGGTCATTTCTAAGCACAGTCAAGTTGTGTTTCGTCAAATTATAAAATCTTGCATGTCAATTAATATTAAAGAGAGCAACTGTCCTTCTGTAATAATATTGACAACAATAAGATTAATACTAATACCAAACATCATAGGAAAATAACACACAAACAGCGAACACAATATTTTCCAAATTCCACAGATTATTAATTGGCATGCAAATGTTATTATTTGATGAAACACAACTTGACTGCATTTGGAAATAAAATCTAAAATTATAAATAGATGTTACATTATGAAAAGTGAAAATCTCACAGAAAATATAAGAATAATAGTGACATTTCAGCATAAATTAATTGCTATACTTTACACTCTGAAGATTTTATCTCGCAAAGATTTGGTTGATTTTTATCTCACAAAAATGGATTAAAACGTTAAAAAAATTTGTAAAATAATAAAGTTTTAAAGCTATTACACCCAGTAGTGACGTTGAAATTAATGTTTTTTTTTTATTTTTTTTATTTTGATACTTGTTTGTATCAAGATCCATAACATAACACATATTGCAAATTTAAATTCTTTTATTGTGTTCCATTTTTTAAATATGGCCCAAGGCCGTTGTTCAAGGCTTTTTCATCGTATGTTTTTTAATTATATGTCTTCCAAAGGTATTCCGTCTACATTTGCCTAACTTAACACAAAATTCAATCGTAATTCTTTGTTTAATAATTAATGAAATACATACTCGTATCTTTTTCATCCGTTATCATAAATACACTTCACATAAACTGTTATAGTAAACATAAAAATGAATAATAAGTGATATTTTTGCACAAATTAACTAAGAAAAGAGATGGAAGAACATTCTTAGATCACAAATTCATCACTCGTTTCCACATCTATGAAGCAGTGTTGCTTGTACACATATTTTCGGAACAGTCCTCATAATGTATAATATATAGTAATTATTTTAGCTATTTACCCCAGTTTGTAGCGAAGTTTATGGGTTTTTACGATACTGGACGCATATGGAAGGTGCAGCTGGTGAGCCTTTCTAATAATCCGACAGTCATCGTACGTATAATCCGAAACAGGAATTTTCAACGCTCTGTAAAGTGTGAAATAATGTTTTTAACGATCCCGATATTTCTACTGCTCTTGAGTTACTATACACGAAAACTCACTCTGCCATAAGACGTCGTACATTATTTGCGTACAATTTGGGATCCAGTTTTTCCGCCTCACTTGGATTATAGACGGGAAGGAATTCAATCTCGCAGCTGCTATTTAACTGCGTCAATGTTAACCATAGCAATTTCAATCTACAACGGATAGAGGCTGCCTATACACTGTCAAAAATAAAAACATAAGAAAACCGTAAGAGAAGCTAGCTCTGTACTTACGCGCCAGGACCTTCCCATGTCCACGTTACTGTGTCCAACTTGTTAGGATACCTGATGCACACTGGTTGCACCGGCACACCGGGATAGAAGGCGCCCGATTTGAACGTAATCAAGCACGACCGGTTCGTACAGGTTCCTTCAGGAAATATCATAACCTGTGGAACAGTCGATGAATTATACCAAGGTAGCAATTCACCTGAAGCTATGCATTTTCAATTGCGTGCATCTCGTCTTTGAATCCCGTAAATTATTCAGAATATCATAAAAAATTACAACTTCTACGAATTTGATATAAATTGATTTATTCGTCTCCGTATACTTCTAATTGTGTTACACAGCTTATATAAATTCCACTGATAGTTTAATTTAGTTATTCGCTTACCTGTGGCCAATCCTCCTTGGAAGTAGTCCTTTCAATGATCTCCTTAATAGTATTTTGACGAGAATTTGGATCCTCCCTCCACACATAGACCGGTTGCGTATAGTTGATGAGTTCTACATATATCAAACATTGAAAAGACAAAGACGTAAATATAATCTATGTTTTCAACTGATAATTAGAATCGCGCTTGACCTCGTTCAGATCGATTGAGCCAATTATCGTAATCCTATTGCGCAAGTAATTCATTTAAGAATAATAAGTTTACAAAAGAACTGTCTTATGGTAATCGCTTACAAATAGATCGTCATTATTTGTTATTCAAAATCGACCAGTTGAAAGACCGGAAATTAATTGCAACGTCTTTACACAGAGAATTGAGGCCGATCGCTTTTACAAATAGGTAGAACTGTTGGTCGACCATTGTTTCATTGAATTGCAAACAATCAGTGTTAACTAACAAAAAATTTTTGCAAGTGTAACTATTCTAAAATACTTCATTGTACATAATGGTGAATGGGATTTGCTAATTAGTTTAAAATTATTAACGTCTTATATTACTCAGTAAATGATAAACACTTATTTGTAAAAAGAAACTATTAATACACAAGTTTGATATTAACAGAGTAACGACGTTAATGTCAATCAAATTAAAATCGTTTAAGTGTTAACTGTAGTTGAACGATAACAATATACTTGCCATACTGGACAGAACAATGATCTATCTTTCTCGCTGCGCGCGCAACCTTATAATAATCTTCGCTGCATAATTTGTTAACTATACCTCTGTTTAATAATACCTCACGCGACACGAGCTACGAATATCACAGTATTCTACACTGTGATTCATAACTCCTTCCTTATAAAACAGTATTATTTTTTTGGTTTGGCTCAAATTTCTTCGCGTTTGCAGAGGATAATAAAGAAAGAAATGAAAGGAACAAAACAGTAGCACCTACTTCCGATAAACGGATTTAAGCCCGACTCTCGCCTGACGATGATCGACGGAAATCCGGTGACGTAAGCGATGCCGCCGTCGATGAAGGTCGAATGCGGCGCGAGGACCAAAATCGGTGCTTCCGATCTAGAAGCTTGTTTCCCTCGAACCACGATTCTCATCCCGCCAGCCTGGTATGTAAGCCGGCCCACGAAACATATCCATGGCACTAATTTGCTGCAGGTTTCAACCGACAAAATGTACATACATGGATTTACTCAAAGTATTAAAATACCGATGAAAACGTGCATTCGATGTAAGTATAATCGATAATATCATGAATAGAATACGGAGTACTCCGAGAGCTGTCGAATGTATCGATGTAAACGAGTCAACTCATCACAGAGAGAAATGCACACGCGCGCGCGCATTACGATGAGCACTTTCTATCATTCGCAATCGAGTGATGGAAACAAGAGGGACAAAAAGACGGTGAAAGCGCTCGATTAATGGCTCAAGTTTCGACAATCGAAACAAGTTAGTTGCAGGAAATATTGAAATTGTACATACATGTATGTATGATTGATACCGAGATACATTTTGCATTTGCTTCCTTGACCCTTTAACACAATCGTTACAAACACACATTAATTTGTCGAAATTTATATCCTCATCTATAATACATTTTTTTCACACGGATATAATAACGCATTACGTGCAATGCAGCTTTGCAAATATGAATGTTAAATAAAAGAATATTAGAGAATTAATAAGAAGAGCTGTTATTTAACCCTTTAACAGGCGTTTTCGAGTTTAATTGCGATTCAATTTACTGATAAAAGAGTTCAATAAAATGAAACAATAAAAGCCACATTATCGATAATTGTTAAAAAAGGCACAGTTAGTTAAAGAATAAATCCCATCCACCATATATGTAATAATATGTATGCATGAACATTATGTACAACGAAACAAATGGCTAGAGCAGAATACTGTAGTTTCAAATGTAAAATATTTTTGCACACAAAAAAAAAAGAGGCCGCGGATCTACCTAGATTAAAACACGTCTACATCTACGTTAAAAGTTTAACCAATGTGATCGGTTGTTGTTGATTTACTTAATAGAGAAATTAAGTCAAAAACACATCGGCGACCTCTCTTCTTTGTTATGATCTGAGTTTATGACCTGAGTCGCCAACGGCGACTCAATGCGGCGATTCAATGCGGCGATGAGCAACCTACTTCCGAAGAAAGGGAGACGGCTACTCTCCCCTTTGGCAACGATGCTCGGTCCGCCAAGGTACACGACCGGAAGTGCGTCGAAGAAGCTGGAATGCGGGGCGAGAGCCAGCACCGGCGCGTCTTTAGTCTCCGCCTTCCGGCCCTTGACCTTCAGATGATGGAATCCACCGCAGAGAAATAATGCCCGCATCATCCAGCAGATCACGACGCGCATGTCTCTGTTTGTAAGTGGTTTTATTTGCAGTGCGCATGCACCATCATCCGATACAATTCTCTACTTCTAAAAGAATTAGCGGGCTTCATAAGCCATCTTTGCAATTAGGCAAATCCATCTAATTCAATCTCTTCTTATGAGAGATATGACCGTTTTAAATGTTACACGTTCTTTTACTTTATAGAGATCCTTAGATAGAAACGTTTTACAAACTTGAAAACTTCGCTTGAAAATTGTGAATTTTTTTTAGAAATTCTTTGTTTTTAAGATACACGAAGAACATTGATTTTTGTTTTCTTTAAATAATAACTGACTTGATAATAATGCGCATATTTGCATAAATAAGTATTCACCTCGTGAATAATTCAAAAACTTGCAGAGTTACCCTAGTATGTGTTACGGTTAGGTGTTACTTGAGAATTGTTTTCTCCAATTAAAACTCTTTCCATTTTAACGTTTTATTGTGATATAAAGTTGTCTTATAGACTGTTTTCGTCGCATGAAACCTTGATAATGATTAAAACGTAACTAAATTATGAAAGATATATAAGTAGACGATAGCTTTATACAACTTTATTACCATTAACTAATCACTATTTTTGTCTACAAAAATTGACAAAATAACTTTTCTCAAATGATAATTTTCTTATATTAATAAATCATATTATAAATTACAAATTTAAGTTCTATTGGCATGAATTTATATTGAAATTATAAATTCAGGAAATGTGTTTATTTTTACTAATCCAACAAATTCCAAGGCAATTACCGAGCAGTTTCCAAATCTCTGATGGTCTCAAGATGTTGTGGATGAAATGTTATAATGACAGAAGAGAGATTACAAACAAAAGGCGTTTTATTAATTATACGTAAATATTGAAGTAATTGTAAATGTAGTAGAACTGCTATCAATGACCTCGTTAATAACGAAAAGCTAACCTTGTCCTATATGCGAGAACGCACTTTTTAACGGTATTCTCTCACGGCCAGCCGAAACCCACGTCACCTTACCTGAGGTCGCGTTACCTTGAAAGGATTATATATCAACTCGCACATTTAATTCGTATCGTACCGACATGATTGTACAATACAATCATCACACACACACACACACACATTCAATATTTTTAATCACACGTAAACAATTATTGAAAGATAAAACGTCTAGACCTAAAGATCTCTAAGCACGCTTGACATATTCCACGATCGTAACGCAGATTTAATCTACTAACAAAGCAAGATGATGTACTGTATACCACCAAAAGAAAGAGAAAAAAGTTAAAAAGCAACCTTAAAAGGTTAATGTTAGCATAAACAGCATAATAGAAATAAACTTGGAAAGAGGAATCACAGATAAAGAAAAAAGAATCAAAATCATCACACCGCTTTATTTCGTTTAAACCATACCGTCTCCATCCTTGGAGAGGAGCTCGTCGAAGATCCTCCTCAGACAATCCGTGCAGACCTAGGCAGGCCAATAACCACGCCAGAATCATTAAAGTCATGATGGCGGCTAATCTCAATGGCAAAAGGGCTATCGTTAAGAATATCGTCTGAAACAGCACAAGCACATTCCCGTAAAAGTCACTTTTCACAAAATCTCGAAATAATAAATTTTTAATTCACTATAATATTATAAAGATTTATCACACACAAAATCATTAAATCAAATAAAAAAACAAAGATTTGCTTTATGATTTTCCAAATAAATTTGCATAAAATTAAAACAACGTTAAAAATTCACGAAATTAGCTTACAATGTCGCTGTTCGCTGTATCGCATTATGTAATTAAAATTGGACCGACTAGTAAGTAAATAAATAAATAATTAGTTCTGTCTTGCATTTCTATCGCTTATCGTTTGGTAAAGGTTAGAGATGCCCATCTTATGGTCTTCTCGTGTCTTATGAAAAGGAGCAAGAAAGAATAAAGAGCAGAAAAGAGATGGGACATGAGTACCGTTTGTTACGTTTCGCTATTCCGTTAGTCACATCAGCTGCTCGCTCCATCCCGCTTCAGCTCGTTGAATAGTTGAATATACGAGAAACTGCCGAACATATACGCGATATGCGAAAGCAAATCAGATATTTATCCAAATATATATCGTCCTCAATTAAAATTATAGTTATTGTAAAAGAAATATTGCTTTTGATCCATATAGATTCATGAATTATGATGTAATTTTCCTGCAAATAAAAGTAAACGATAAATAGAGCAAGAATTGAGGCAAAAGTTCAAGACAAATTTTGTATGAATATTCAAACAATATTTAGCGCAATGTTTAGAGAAGACACCAAGCGGGAATTAGTGACAATATTTAATTCGAGTTATTCTGATCGATAATGCTGTGCAAATAATAAGGAAGCCTCTCACGTCCGTCATGCGCTAATTTTTGCGTAGAAAGTGTCACATATGTAACTGTAAATCTGAAGGGCCGTATCGCGCTGTTTATATATTATGTAATACGAAATAGAATGCACATTGTACTAGAAATATGTTATATAGATCATGAAGTAGAAAATAGAAAGAGAAAGAGAGAGAAAATAACTTGTAAAAAGTAGGGCATGTAACATAATTTCGTTCATTTTCTCAGCTTCTCGAACACGCTATTCCATTCCGTAGCTTAATCCCGGTCTTCGCTCGCTTATAACATCTAGAATGCGGCCTTTCTACACGAAGCATTCAGACTTGACCGATGTTTTAACAAGAGAAAGCATCGGTCCATGGAGGAGTGCTATTTGCGTTGCGTTACCGCTAGAAAAGCGTAAGCCGCGATTTTGATGCCTTAAAAATATAATATAGTTGCAAGAACTCCAGTTTCGTTCTTTTTAGTGACAAATAAATCGCATCAAGATGCCGTTTAATGCAGTAGCTGTTTTCCATTTGTTTGTTGTAAACAGTCGAAACCAGTGGTTCTCATTCAGCGGCCATGTCACATTTGTTTGGACCACATGAAAAAAATAAGCCATTAGGGGGCCATACCAAATTAACTACCAAACGTACGATTACCTTATCATAATCTTCATATTTCACTGTTTGTGAGAATTTCAACATCATAAATATTAAAAATTGCAATGGTATGCTTCTTATTTATTATCTACCAGTCAACCTACTAAAATGAAAATGCAAGAGTAAATTTTTTTATTTTTATATATTCTAGCTCCTAAGTTTTTTTTTGTAAATAAAGTACACTTTACTAAATTTGATTTTTTGGCAGTCCTTCTATGAGTAAAAAAGTAATCACCCTAAAAAATATAGGTTGTATTATTACTGCACATTCATGTTCTTTATAGAATATCGTTTGCTGTATAATAAAAAAAGTTATCTACATAGAAATGTTAATTTTTGTATAATCTATTACAAATATTTTGATTTTATAGAATACAGCAATCAATACATATTAAAAATAGAAAAATGTTTTTTCACTAATAACGACTATGAGGGAGTTACAAACGTAAATTAGAGTAAGAAGCCATTATAAAAAGGTTGAGAACCACAAATCTAAACTGTTACACGTTTTTAGCTCTTTCAATATTTTTTATTGCTTCTAGATATCGCTCCTTATATTCTTCTTTCTACTGTTAGGCACACTTATTCTTCGACGTTTCTATGTTTAAAAAACATGAGTATTTAGATAATCCTTAACAAATCTTAAAATTTCTAATTGTGAAAAGAAAGAATCTTGTGAAAAGAGATACATTATGTGATATATATTTTTATATTGCAATTGTAGAAACAATCATAATTAAATAATCGTTTCTACATTTTGCAAATTTAGTGCATAATAAACGATGTCAATTGATTGTACTTTTTTGTAACTTGATTAACATCACATAATTGCTTTGTATGCCTGAATTAATATGTATCGAAATAAAATTTTAGTAAACATGTCAATTACTCACATGACCTTGTTCCCGATTAACACAGCAACTAAGAGATATATATGGTGTTCGCCGGAAGCCGGGACGCGAAAATGTGGCGAAGAAAGTGGGACGTGAGTTACACGAGAGAGTTACAGCAGTAAGTAGCGTGACAGTAAACTTGTCAATACGGTCTCGATCGTGGACGATATCGTCAATTTTTGGTTGGAAGATCCACAAGATGTTAATTGTGTGATGTGAAAATCGGTGATGTGAAAGTAGCCATATGATGCAATCAACATAAGGAAGAAAATCTTTCCGCGCGCGATGTCTCCTGGATCGTCTTGCATGTATTTTCACAACGCTTTATTACTTTATTCCTGTTTTCTCATTTGTTTGCCATTCCTACATTTTTGCAGAATATCTTATATAGCAAATCTTATGTAACAAATAGAATGATTATATACTATACCTATTATATTATACTATACCTATTATATATAATTATATTTGGATTGTACGCACTGTGTTACACTGTGTTTTTATAGTATTATTAAGGATATTATTGAGGAAAAATAAAATATTGAATATAAAATAAAAAATCTAAAATTACTTTCAATTCTTATTATGATATCTCTTTAAAATATATCCTTATTACCCATGTCCAAACATGAAATTAAATTTGCAAATTTTATAAAAACTGCGAGGCAGTTATCCGATACCAGCGCATACTTTCTCAGGACGATTGAAGCACAACCCGCCTCGCGATAGCGGTGGTAATGATGGTGTGATTATAATGGCAATGGTTATGATGTTGATGATAGTAGTGGTAGTGACGACGATGGTAGTGGTAGTAGTGGTGGTGGTAATGGTGGTGGTAGTGATAGTGATAGTGATAGTGGTGGTGGTGGTGATGGTGGTAGTGGTGATGATGGTGACAATAATGATGGTAGTGATGGTGATAATGATGGGGGTGGTGGTGGCGGTGGTGGTGATGATGGTGGTGGTGACGGTGGTGGTGGTGGCGGCAGTGGTGGTGGTGATGGTGATGGTGGTGGTGGCGGCGGTGGTGGTGGCGGTGACGGCAGCGGCGACGGTGGCATCCCCTAAAATGAGCCTGCACACGAGCATCGATCCTAGAAAGAAGCCGCTTTCAAAAGGTACTGACCTTGAGCTTGTCGTAGGTCGAGCCAAGCTCGAGTCGATGCACGAAAGGATTGAGGATGTCAGCGCTGAGTGAGGCAGCGTCGGCATTTTCAATGTTTGACCGCTCGTTCCTCGCATCTCCGTTCATTGCGAAACGGAGAAGAAAACTCAAACTCGAATAAAGTCTGATTCCCAAGAATGGAGTCCACAGTTACTCGTGTTTCGTATCTCTCTTTCAAGTGAAAGAAAAGGAAACGTTGTGACACACGCGACAAATCAAACTAATTCGCGGAACTCACGAAAAGATTGCGAAAACAATTGGTAAACCGACGTAAATCGGAGTAAGAGAACGGAGCGCGTTTCAACTCGCACCCCTCTATATGTGAAAGGGTTGACGGTCAGCGATACACTGTCATACACTGCGCCTGCCGCGCCGCTACCCGGACACGCGCCACTGCGAGAGCGACGCGCGCGCGCCACCTCCCGCCGAACGACGAGCGGCGAGCGGGCGAACTATATTGCCCGCTCACTCATTACGGCTGCGTTCCGTTTCGACGCTTACACGCTTTAAGCGCTTATAAACATCGCTTCGGCGTTTCTTTTGGCATTGTAAGCTCTCGGAAAAGCGTTTATGACGTCACGATTACGTCATAAATACTGCTTACAAACGCTTATTTAATCGAGATAAGGCAGCGTGAGCGTGAGCGGCGTTCACTGAGCGCTAATAAACGGTTTTCAAACGGTTTATCAACTGCTCCAATTACTTTCGGAAAAGCGCTAGTCGCAGCAAAACCCATAAAAATTTCTTCACATTTATCGTCTTCTGGCCAAGTTATAAAGAAAGGTGCCAATTTCACTATTGCTTTTATAACTCTTCTTAAGTACAGCACGTAATGCTGTTGTTCTTCCAATGTTGAACTTTTTACATATATAGGGTGTTTCATAATGTCCAATGCTCGTATGCGGGTAGAGTGCGGTAAACTGAATAGAAAAGTCCTTTATCGTTTTACAATTTTTGCAATAATAATTGAAATATTAATTAAAAAGCATTGACGAATAATCACGCGTTGCGCGTGGCTAGACTATAAGCTCTAGGCGTGACAGCAACGAGGATCGCACGGCAACGAAAAATAACAACGCGTATTACTCCTACTCTCGTCATGCGTTGTCACTTTTCGTTGCCGTGCGATCCTCGTTGCTGTCACGCCTAGAGCTTACGGTCTAGCCACGCGCAACGCGTGATTATTCGTCAATACTTTTTAATTAATATTTCAATTATTATTGCGAAAATTGTAAAACGATAAAGGACTTTTCTATTCAGTTTACCGCACTCTACCCGCACACGAGCATTGGCACAAACATTATAAAACACCCTGTAGATCTGTAAATATTCAAAAACAAAAAAATAATGTGCAAGTTATCTTACCTAAATCAATTGTAAAAAGTGAAAATAATATGATTTTAATACCTGTATGAATCAGGTGTAGCTATTTTTCATATAGCAATTAAAAATTATTTTTTAGGTGATATCATTTTGCGTCCAAATTTAGTTGTAAAAAGTGAAAATTCAATGTTATGTAAAATAAAATTAAATATTAATCTTTTTATTCTAAAAAAATATATATTTTTAGCAAAATAATTGTACAATACTTGAAATAAATAAAAGTTTTTTATAGATGCACTCAAATTTATCAAGCTATATGATTTAAAAATATAAAAACATAATACATATCTAAAATGTGATCTAAATGTTTCATCGTCGTGAACTGATATAACATTTTTAATGTAATTTTGAAACTGTTTGGTGTTGTTATAAAGTGTTTAGTCAGTAACTTTTCATATTTTTCTATATTTTTCTAATAAGAATTTTTATTTTTAGTATCATCAAATATCTCTAATATAACATTGGTGTTGCAAATACCATAATTAAATTTTCTTTGTCTGACATTTTGATATTGCTTATATTTGTTTATTAAGGTCAAAAGAAACGGTTATTGTAAGCGTCGCGTTAGTGCTCACAAACCAAACGGAACAATTGAAATTGAAATAGCGCTTATAAGCGTGAGCGTTCACAGCGCATAAAGCCTAATCTACAATGTGCTTTTTGATTTTTGTTTGCTGCCTTTTTGCCTTTATGTAAAGGCATATTTTTTTCGAAAATTTAGAAAGGAGAAATTGTAAATAACAGTGGTTTTTGACATCATGCGACAAACACATAAAAAGTAAAAATACGAAAGGCAGAGAGCAAGAAGCAACACGCAAGAAGCACATTGTAGATCAGACGTCGAAATGGGATGCAGTCTACGAGTAAGGCCCTACGCACAACAGAGAAAATATTAGGAATAAGAATAAATATTAAATATTAGGAAGAGCAATTTGGAATTATTTTACTTCAAACAAGGGAATGAAGTGGATTCATTATTTCTATTTTTCTTAATTCATGATACGTTAATACGTTTCATTTTCTTGTTTTCAAATGAAATAATATCAATTTTCTACTTCTAATATTTAATATTTATTGTTATTTCTAATATTTTCTCTATTATTCTGATAAATGTAAATTTTGTATTTCAATTATTTTTTTCATTACTTCTGGATCTATCCTTATTCCAAGTTTCATGGCTCTTTGATGGTGTTCTCTTTTATAATTTTCAATGCTGAAAATAAATCATAAATTTTACTAAATTTAAATTAGATTTAAAGTAAATATTTTATCATTATTACACAAAAAAATATTTAAATAATAATAATATTTATTATCAGAAATTAAAAATTTAACAGTTGACATAACTTTAATCCTATACCTGTATCCTATACGTGTATACACGCGGTATGATATAGGATATATACAGGGTGGGCCATTTTAATCCATCCACGCAAATAACTCCGTAAGTAAGCCAAATACAAAAAAATGGTTCAGACAAAAGTTGTTCAGGACAATGGGGGTCACCTATTTGTGTTAGTGACTTTGACCTTGAAGTCAATTTTCAAGGTCATTTGAAGGTCAGAGTTATTTTTTAAATAAAAACTCCTATTTTTGATTCCAAAATCTAATAGCTGGTGTCAAGAGCTTTTCAAAACACTATAATGAAGTTATTTTTCATTAAGTACTTTTCGAGTTATGAGGCTTGTAAATTACAGTATTTTGACATAAAATACAAAATATCTTGTAAAACATTCAATTTTTGGGTAATCTTACCTTAATACTTTTATGCATAAAATAATAAGACGAATCAATTGGTATAAAGAAAACACATAGTTGCTTTCAAGAAAAAATATGTAATTTGCAACATGCAGCTGCATACTTTTTTTTAAAACCAATGTGTTTTCTTTATACCAATTGATTCGTCTCATTATTTTATGCATAAAAGTATT